GCTTTCGAACTGCTAGGTCGGCAAGGGGTTCTACATCACAGTCTACCTGTGTAGAGCAGGTTCATCTCTTCAGACATTCCCACCCCACACCTGTGTTTGTGAATGGGGTGGGGAGCTGCTGGGGCCAGAGGATGCAGCCCTGTGCTCCCTCTGAAACAATGTCAATTGCACGAAAGGGTAACACCAGAAAAGGGCTGTTGAAGTTCATTAAAAGCCTCTTAATTCTTTAGCAAACTTTGGCTGAAATGACAGGATTAAGAAGAGTTTTCTTAATCCTTCTCTTTCTTTTAAACCTAGAGCAGCCTAGGGCAGGTTGCTTCTGTGAAAAAGAACAGGGAGAGGGAGAGGCTGCTTAATCCTTTCTCTTCTGGTCCTTTGTCTGCTCAAATGTCCTCTCCTTATTTTGCTTTTCCCCCCTACAGAGGAAGCAATACATTCCATGACCATAGTATGCCATGGCAGGCAGCATATAAATCTCGGTTATAGTATCCGAAGGAAACTGCATAGCTGATATAGATGCTATTTCAACATAGGAATGATTCCTGAATTTACTTTACTCCAGCATTTGTGGTGTTAAACGTATCTTCCAGAACTACCATATCTGCTGCTAAGCAGATGAAATGTCCATGGATGAACCAATCTCGTTTGTTCTAAAGAATCATCACCTAAAATTAGAATGTTGTTTAAGCTTGCACAAAGAGCTGTTTTGCAACCCAGGATTTGGACAAACTGACCAGAAATCATTTGAGTCCAGAATCCATGGTTAGATATAGAGTTAGATTTATAGTTAGACCCACACCCTCTCTGGCAACACTGCCTGATATCAGCACATTATGCTGCCCAGAATGCATGATCTTGGTGTTAGACATGGTGCATGAAACATTCTTGTGAAAACAGTGCAGTGTTGGAGAGGAACTGCATGCAAACTGTCATAGAACATAGAAAGTTGCTTTACACTGAATCAGACTCCTTGGTCCATCTAGCTCAGAGGCTCTCCAGAGCTTCAGTTAGGGTACATTCCCAGTCGTACCTGCAGATGCTTGAGAACTTTTGCTTGCAAGGCAGGTGCTTTGCCACTGCACTGTGGTCCTTCCAAGGCCGAGGTTCAAATCCCAGCATCTCCAGGTGGAACAGGGAAGGAGTCCTACCTGAAATCCCAGGAGAGCCCCTGCTAATCCGAGAAGCCATACCAAGCTAGATGGGATCAGTAATCTGACTTGGTACATGGAAGCTTCCCATGTTCCTACTTGCTTCTGGTGTTTTTTCTGTACTGCATTAGATTTGCACAAAACCAAAAAGGGGACAAGGGTCTACATAACATTTGCACAAGTACTAATTTATAAAAAATTTTTAAAATGGAATGATTTCCATAATTTATCTCACTATAGTGAGGAAGACTGTGGTTAAGTGACCTGTGTGCCAGATTAGTGTGTTGTCCAGCAGCTGATGGGCAACTTCAAGGTGCTTCCCCATTGCTCTCCTTCTGAACGACTGGGAGCGTACTCCTCCATCAAACAGAGGGCTTGACCTCTGGAAAGTTGGACACACAGCCACCTACACTGTTTTGGTTGTCATTCAAATTCATAGCCGGGCACATTTTGCCAAAATCAATGCATTGTGGATAGAGAAATAGCTACACATACATCCAATGTGCCCTTATCCTTTAGGGTTGGCAGCCGAGCTCTCAGTTTAAAATATACTTTAGGGGTTGGAACTGGGCTTTGATAATGTGCATTATGTGAGGGTGCATTTTCTCCAAGTACAATTTCCTGGCCAAGGCCCTGGGCAGTTTGCTCCCTTCAGCCTAATTCCTAAAATGGGGAGGGCTTGCACCCATTCATGGATTTCTCCCGCTAATGGTACTGTACATATGCAGGTTTCTTTTATTCAAGGTGTTGATGGTGATGATTAAATACTTTCATTAATAAATATTGTATTAATATTTATTTATATACTGCCCTTCATCTGCAGATCTCAGGACGGTTTACAGTACAAAAGCACAAAATACATAACACACAAAAAGCCAACACAATAACCCGCCACCCACCCACAGCCCAAGAAACATTTCGAAGGCCATAGATTCTTCAATACTCCAAATGCCTGGGTTAAGAGGAATGTTTTTGCCTAGCACCAAAATAGTAATAAGAGTATTATCTTCAAAGGCATATTCACATATGAACAGCTGAACCCACAACAAGGACCCCTGTGTGATCAGAAATCCTGATATATAGGGTGCCTACATACATCCTGGGACGCGGGTGGTGCTGTGGGTTAAACCACAGAGCCTAGGGCTTGCCGATCAGAAGGTCGGCGGTTTCGAAACCCCGCAATGGGGTGAGCTCCCATTGCTCGGTCCCTGCTCCTGCCAACCTAACAGTTCGAAAGCACGTCAAAGTGCAAGTAGATAAATAGGTACTGCTCCGGCGGGAAGCTAAACGGCATTTCCGTGCACTGCTCTGGTTCGCCAGAAGCGGTTTAGTCATGCTGGCCACATGAGCCAGAAGCTGTATGCCGGCTCCCTTGGCCAATAAAGCGAGATGAGCGCCGCAACCCCAGAGTCGGTCACGACTGGACCTAATGGTCAGGGGTCCCTTACCTTTACCTTTACCTACATTCAGCTGTTCATGGGCACCCTTTTGCAGACATTGCACTGAACATGTGGGTATCAAGGGGGCAAGGTTAGTAGTGCATGATTTGTGGGGGTGGACCGGTGGCACAGTTCACCTCTCTCCCTCTCCATACATTTACCATATACAGAAGAAGGCATGGATGAAGCTCAAGGCATCTGGCACAGGAACATAAGAAACTGCCTTATACTAAGTCAGAGAATTGGTCAATCGAGCTCAATACTGCAGACACTAACTGGCAGTGGCTCCACAGGATTTCCCCCTGCCCTACGTAGAGATGCCAGAGGTTAAGACAGAGACCTTTGGCATGCTCTACCTCTGAGCCATAGCCCCTCCCATTATGTAGCAACACCACACATTGCCAGAAAACCCCCGCGGTATAACAACTAAAGTTTATCCAGGATCAAGCTTTCAATCCATTTATATTGTGTTGTCCCACACACATGATACCAGAAGAACAAGCAGGACGAGAAATCTCACGTTGTATGTAGATCACTATCTACATATATAAAATATAACTGGGACAAGGTTTAGTGCTTCAGATTTCTTACGAACGTCTGTCTATTTTGTTTTTCTCACCTTCCTCCTGTGGCTTTAAAAAGAAGCCCGGAAGAAAAAACGAGAAGTGAAGGGAGAAAGCTTAATATCTGACTGTTAGGCTGCTATGACAGGCAGAGGAGCAACGTCAACAAAAAAGATACGGCAACTCAGCACTTGTTGGAGGGGTTTGCTATGAGCAAAAGAAAACACAAGTTGTGTTTTCTCTTACAGGCTGTTACCAGAAGAAGAGAAGAAGAAGAGTTTGGATTTGATATCCCGCTTTATCACTACCCGAAGGAGTCTCAAAGCAGCTAACAATCTCCTTTAACTTCCTCCCCCACAACAAACACTCTGTGAGGTGAGTGGGGCTGAGAGACTTCAGAGAAGTGTGACTAGCCCAAGGTCACCCAGCAGCTGCATGTGGAGGAGAGGAGATGAGAACCCGGTTTCACCAGATTACGAGTCCACTGCTCTTAACCACTACACACACTGGGACTTGCAATGCAATGCTGCAGTGTGGAGCAGCAAGCGCTCAGAAAGCTACTCTTTTAGCAGCATGCCAGCAATAAAACACACAAACCCTGAGGTGTGATCACAGTGTTGGCTGGAAACCAGCAAGCAAAGCCCTAGGGACCTTGCCTCAGAAACAGGTCAGATTCCCATATGTATCTGATGCCTTATAGTTGGTGAATAAATGCAGTTGTTGGTGCTAGTCAGCTTAGCTTTTACTTAAAAGCAGACTCATTGAAATTAAAGACAATGATTACATTCAGTCAATTAATTTCAGTGGGGCTATTCAAAGTAAAACTTAGTGCTACCATGCATTGGGTCCTCTTTCTGCATATGCAAACAGATTTTTTACACTTAGGGACAAAAACGTCCAGCAACTTAATAGAATCAGAGAATTGCAGAATTGGAAGAGGACCACAAAGGTAATCTATTGCAACTCCCTGTATTGCAGGGATTTTTTTGCCCAGTGTGGAGCTTGAACCCACAACCACTTGCTACCCAGAAATGGGAAATAATTGTAACGAGTTCTGTAATTTTATGCGTATCTCTCTTTTTATGCAATCCACCCTGCAGCTCCTAGGTGATGCTATAGGTAAATACATAAGCAGGCAAGCTGGTGAAAGTCATGCATGTATGCAGTACAGCAAAACAGATACCTAAAAGAAAAGTAATTTCAGTCTATGCTCAATTGCTGCAGTAGCCACAATTCACTCGGAGATCATTAACAGTGTCTGGCATGGTAGATATATTAGCAGGGATGTTCCCCTCTCCCTTACACCAGATTTCAATTAGAAATTACATCAGTGGCGAGGAAAATTCTAAGAGCTTTCCCCTTGATTGATTGCTTCTAGCATTAAAACTGGTTATTTATAGCAGCAGCCGTGCAGACTAAAGAGTGTGTATGAAATGTGAAGCGTAATTATATCTGTTATCAAAGGGAGCTTTGCACTGCTTCTGACTCAAAAGTGGGGTGCTCAGATTTCTACAGCAGCTAGAGAATAACAGAGAAAACAGGATGCACTGCCTTGTAAAGCTATTAAATGGTTTTAAAAGCTAACAGGTAAGCTTCCCTTCTGTTTGTTTTCATTTTCATATATAGGACATTTCTGTCCAGAGAGTCAAAGAAAAAGAGACAAATGAATTCTGTTTCATGATGCCCCCACCAGCTGCCAAATAATGCAACTAATAGCTGTTAGTTCTCATTTTGCACAATCCCAACATTTTTCAGTAAGCTCCCCCCCCCCCCCCGCCCACACCACCTTTTTGCATTCAAGCAATCTCACATGCACAAGACGCCTGGAATAAAGAAACGTCTAAGCTTACCACATGGTCTAAAGTTCTAAAGACAGCACCAATGAGCATCAGCTTCCAGCGGTCCTCAACATTCTCTGGTAAAGGGCTGTATATGTAATAGGCAGTCAAAACTGTAGCAATGAGAAGGCACAGTAATTTGATTCCCATCTTTTACTATCTACTTCAGTCAAGACTGATTCCCATTGACTAGTCTCGGTGAGTTTTAACGGAGGCAAGTCAGCTGACAGCAACAAAGTTAGTCTGCTGTTACACAGTATGACTCACACAGACCCAGAGAGACCAGCTCTCCTTTGATCACTAGGAAACAGGTTCGGCTTCTAGAGTAAAGGCAAAACTTCACGCTAGGAAGCATTCAACCACCTACAATAGGATTACTGGAGTTGTTTGTGCTGCTTGAGCCGAGGTTTCAATAACAAAGCAAGGACGACAAGTTTGCACTTATTGGTTCTACAGATTCCACAGCTCTGGTGTTTAAATTAAAATGAGGAAATGCAGCGTTCTCATAATAACTAACAACATAACCAGTGATAAGCAAGACCTTTGAGCCTCCGAGTGACTGATAAGATAAAGACTTTGTCTCAGCAGGGAAGGACTAAGATATGCATTTGCTCCAGTAACTCCATACTACAGATGATCAGATTTTAGGTGCACCTAACTCTGGTCCAGGGCACGGGTGGGCACTGTGGGTTAAACCACAGAGCCTAGGACTTGCCGATCAGAAACTCGGTGGTTCAAATCCCCGCAATGGGGTGAGCTCCCGTTGCTTGGTCCCCAGGGACGCGGACTTATAAAAAAATATTTGGGGGGGGCCGGGAAAGCTCATGAATAATAAATAAGCTCATGAATATGCAAATAAAGTGGCTCGGCCCTAAATAGGGCAAGCCACGCCCCCCCAGCCAGCCGATTGGGCTGGCTGGGAGGTGTGGCCAGTCGGGATTCCCCTGTTTCTCGCGGGGGTGAAACCGCCAGGAGGAAGGAAATTCCCCCCCGGCAGTGCCTTGGCAGTGGCCGGTGGTGCTGCGAAGCAGCGAGGCAGGAGCCCCCGCCCCGGCGCCCGAGATTATTGGGGGGGCTGAGCCCCCCCAAAAATTTTTTTTGAGGGGGCTCGAGCCCCCTCAAGCCCCTGGTCCCCTGTTCCTGCCAACCTAGCAGTTTGAAAGCACGTCAAAGTGCAAGTAGATAAATAGGTACTGCTCTGGCGCTGCTCTGGTTCGCCAGAAGCGGCTTAGTCATGCTGGCCACATGACCCGGAAGCTGTATGCCAGCTCCCTCGGCCAATAAAGCGAGATGAGCGCCGCAACCCCAGAGTCGGCCACGACTGGACTTAATGGTCAGGGGTCCCTTTTAACTTTACCTTTTAACTCTGGTCACGAAGAGTTGGACACAACTAAATGACTAAACAACAACAAACTTGAGGGTCTGTGCTCAGCTGCCACATACCAAGACTGCTCAGAGAGACTGATTGGCTTTAGATTGAAATATTTAAGATATGCAAAATTTCTACACTTTTGAACTTGTACTAGAAAGACTGGAGGTGTGTTAGTTGCAGAGAGTGGGAGGAAGGGAGAAAGAATAAAGTTTTGGACGGCTTTCACAGGAAGAACAGTTAGAAAAGTTTCGTCACTCCTTCTAAGTTTTACGGCCCCATATTCATAAGTTGCTATATGAAAGGTGTCAAAACAGGACCTCAGGGTTAAAGCTCTGCCAGCAGCTCCTCTGGCTGTGCTAATGTTGCGGTAACATACTGAACATTTCCTTCTCCCTCAGGAGTTGAGAAATTACAGAAGATGCAAGAAATGAATGCAGTCAGAAATGCTTTGGGCCACCTGTCTGCAATCCTCTTGCCACTTTACATAGATCTGGTGGCCAGGCTACCAAGCCGTTTCCCTTAAGACGAGCCTTTTAGCCCCTCTCACCAGGTGTGAGGGGCTGAATGCATGCAGCAGAGAGTCTGCTCTGTTTGAGTGTGCTTGATTAAGAACACTATAAGAGCCACATTAGCACCATACGCTGAAAGCACTATGACACCACTTTAAACAGCCACAACTTGCCCCAAAGAATTCTGGGAGCTGTAGGTTGCAGAGAATTGTCAGGAGACCTGAAATATACTTGGAGTCCTGTAGTGATTTCATGCTCTTTATTGCAGCTTGTAAAACAGTGGTTGAATTGCCCCCCAAACCTCAGGCTTTTATATACATTATTTACACAATGAGTCCCATCTGATTGGCTGATTCTGCTTCCCCGCTGGAGCCTGATTCGTCTTTTCCTGCAGGCCAATCCATTGTTGCATTCTACGATCCTACCAGCCTAATAGACTGATTAACTTCTTCCTGGAGCTTGATTGGTCTTTTCCTGCAACCCAATCAGTTGTTGCATTCCAGGATCCTTGTTGTTGTTTAGTCGTGTCTGACTCTTCGTGACCCCATGGACCAGAGCATGCCAGGCACTTCTGTCTTCCACTGCCTCCCGCAGTTTGGTCAAACTCATGCTGGTAGCTTCGACTTGCCTATTGTTCTAGGATCCAAGCTTAGTACATAACAAGACCCCTGTTTCCAGAGCCACAGTCCCCAGAGTTCCCTGGGAAGAAGGACCAAATAGGAGAATAAGGGTCTCCTACCAACTCAACCTTATCAAACTACTTCTCCCAGAATTCTTTGGGGGAAGCCATGGCTATTTAAAGGGGTGCCATGGTGCTTTAAATATATGGTGTGCATGTGACCTAGGGCTCTAATTTGCACAGGGAGCTTATTTGAGTATGTCATGGCACTGCAGCTCAACCCTGGGCCACGTACTATGATAGGAAGGGAGATCTGGTCAAAGCTGAGTGCCCACATCTATTCTTGCTCCCTTCCCATGAACCTTTCACTGCCACCAGCTGAAAGGTTTTATATTTCCTAGGCTGCCTTCCACCAAACAGCACTGAACACTCCCTCTTGGCAGAGTGCTGTCGCCTCTTAAACAAGGTATGGTTTAAAGCGAACAGAGACCGCAAAAGTTTTGTTAACAAAGAGCCAAATCAGGCAGGCCTATGAAGCACCTCAGACTGAGGTGAGCTGTTGATTTTGTGGTCAGTGCACGCCTCTAATTTAAATGCTATTTGAATTGGAATTTTCATGCAAAATTGAGAGAGAGAGAGAGAGAGAGAGAGAGAGAGAAGGAAACAGGAAGGACTACTCTATCAATGAATACATGTGAAACTGACACAGAGTAGAAATTGTACACTCAATCTCAGAAGAAATGGAGTCGCACAGGGGTGCCAGGTATAATCAGTGTGTGACAAAAGCATTTTGGGGCTTGAAATGAGGAAAGTACCAGATTCTATTTATGAGCCAATGAGGGCTGGTCTGCAAGTTGCTTTGGAGTGAGAGCAGAAAGCAGGCTTCATCCTTCTTCTGAAATCTCAAGGGGCTGATGCCACGAGACAAAGGAGAAATGTTCGCCATTGCCACCAGAGAGTGTCAGTCTGGCATCCTTTCTTAAAGACATGCTCTGAATAGTTTTGGAATGTGCAGATTCATCTCAAAGTAGCTTCTTCCCAGATCCTCTATTTGGTACAACATTGTGGGAACCAGCATCCCCGCCTTTTTCTGTTCTTGCCTGATCTTCTCACAACTGTCACCGACAAGTCATGGAAGCAGAGGTGCAGCATTGGGGGTGAGCTGAAGAAGCAGATGGGGCTGATCACTACAGGGGCTGACCTCATCCACTCAAGGCTTTTTCATAGTCCTGTACAAAATATTCTCTAATTGCATTGATAAAACAACAACACATGCACAATAGGGTTTCTCTGCCCTGATGGTTGCTGGGAAAAGTGTGTTGTGTAAAACTATTATGCATGTGGTGGTGGTTTTTTTAAAAATCCAAGTCATTAGAGAATATTTGGTACACTACAACCAATGCTGCTGTGGTAAATTTTAAAGTGAAGGAGACTATTCCTATTGCCACACTCCCAAGGGGTGTTCAAACCATCCACACAGATGTGTTGAACCAGATGATAGATAGATGATAGATTAGATAGATAGATAGATAGATAGATAGATAGATAGATAGATGATAGATAGATAGATAGATAGATAGATAGAGATAGATAGATGATAGATAGATGATAGATAGATAGATAGATAGATAGATAGATAGATAGATGATAGATAGATATGATAGATAGATAGATAGATAGATAGATAGATAGATAGATGATAGATAGATGATTGATAGATAGATAGATAGATAGATAGATAGATAGATAGATGATAGATAGATAGATAGATAGATAGATAGATAGATAGATAGATAGATGATAGATAGATGATAGATAGATAGATAGATAGATAGATAGATGATAGATAGATAGATAGATAGATAGATAGATGATAGATAGATAGATAGATAGATAGATAGATAGATGATAGATAGATAGATAGATAGATAGATAGATAGATAGATAGATAGATAGATGATAGATAGATAGATAGATAGATAGATAGATGATAGATAGATAGATAGATAGATAGATAGATAGATAGATAGATAGATAGATAGATAGATAGATAGATGATAGATAGATAGATAGATAGATGATAGATGATAGATAGATAGATGATAGATAGATAGATGATAGATGATAGATAGATAGATAGATAGATGATAGATAGATAGATGATAGATAGATAGATAGATAGATGATAGATAGATAGATAGATAGATGATAGATAGATAGATAGATAGATGATAGATAGATAGATGATAGATAGATGATAGATAGATAGATAGATAGATAGATAGATAGATGATAGATAGATAGATAGATAGATAGATAGATAGATAGATAGATGATAGATAGATAGATAGATAGATAGATAGATAGATAGATAGATAGATGATAGATAGATAGATAGATAGATAGATAGATAGATAGATGATAGATAGATGATAGATAGATAGATAGATAGATAGATAGATAGATAGATAGATAGATGATAGATGCAAAACAGCAGCAATACATGGTACAATACTACACAGTTTACAGTGGTACCTCAGGTTACAAATGCTTCAGGTTACAGACACTTCAAGTTACTAACTCCACTAACCCAGAAATAGTACCTCGGGTTAAGAACTTTGTTTCAGGATGAGAACAGAAATTGTGCTCCGGCGGCAGCAGGAAGCCCCATTAGCTAAAGTGGTTAAGAACAGTTTCAGGTTAAGAACGGACCTCCAGAATGAGTTAAGTTCTTAACCCGAGGTACCACTGTATTAGGATCAGCAGCAGTGAGCTGGAAAAGGGTGAGAAAGTAGTTAGCATGTTGAAATTTGGCTGAGCACCCTGTGCACAGTTGTTCTGGGAACCACCCAAATCCATGGTGTTTGCTTCTAGCTGCCTAGATTAGAGTTTGTAAAACACACTGAGCTGTAACAAAGGATGTCCAGTCAGC